AACTACTGGTGAATACATCTCTTACCTGTTTAAATTAGTTAGTGATCACTTATAACCACAGATAATCCATTAATAAAGACATTATATATGCATACAGATACACACACACTATCGAAATGCCCATCAAAAATGACTGGGGGGGGTGGGGGGGGGGGCGGGGACAAAGCGCCACCACCCCACACTGATGCCGCCTCCCAGGAGTGTGGGGGGAAAAACTTGCCTCACTGTCCCCTCCGCCGCCTCTGCCAGCACCCCGTGCCACTGCCACCATTAGCCTCGCCCCCCCCTCCACTCCCCGCCCAGTCCTGCTCCTCGAAGGCAGCAAAGTGCCTTCGAGGAGCACAGGGACAGAGGGGCAGGGGGCAAAGCCAGCACTGGCCCTGCACCCCTGTTCTGTCCCCTCCATCCCCGCCATCATGGTGACACGCTGCCACCTCCAAGGATCAGGGCCGGGGGAGGGGGACAGCAGGCCAGCGGCATTGGCCTCAGCCCCCCGCTCTGTCCCCTCCGTTCCCACCATCATGGCAGCGCTCTGCACTCAGATTGGTTGTTTCACTAACCAATCAGAGTGCTCCAAGAGTGCTATGGACAGAGAAGTAGACTGACTAAGCCCTTTATTATACACACACTTTTTTATTATTTATTTAGTGAGAAGTGTAGGGATAGGATAACATTTAATTAGGGCAGTAGTGCTATGATGTTAATCAGGAGATGGATACCACGATGAAAGGACACAGCTGTTTTTCGGTTATCACCATGCACAACCAAAGAAATAACTTAAAAACAACAAAATGGCACTGAAATACTTCCCTCTATTCTGCCTTTCATTTTTTAGTCTTCTTAGCATTCATCATATTTATAAGCCCATCCACTGTAATTTAAGAAAAATTAGGTAGCATCTTACATCACTGTTTTCACACCCAGAGACAAAAAAGTGAGCCTACAAATGCATTTAATTAATGTTGATAAATGCAAGTGATACAGTGGTGTACAGAATTCACTCAACAGTCTAGCCGTTGTGAATCTCTGGGAAAAAATGTTTTATTTAATGATCATGGAAGAAAATTATTTTGATATGATTCTCCTCTGATTTACACCAGTTTTATCCCAGTGTAGTTCCATTAACTTCAGTCACGTCTCTCTTGACTTAACTAGTGCAAGTGAGAAGGAGGCCCCAGGTCTATAAAATAGAAAAGAAAAACCTCCAGTCTCCCCTATATATAATCAAGTTGATTTTTTCTAGGCTTCCAAGGAGCCAGATTTGTGCTTCAACTGCTGATCACAAAACTGATATCTTCAATGGAAAGCACATTGATGCTTTCACTGCTACGCTGTTTACTGGATTATTGTACGAAAGTGAAGCAATTACCTATAACATCTTCTGACATTATAATTACTAATTTGCCCTTGACAAACTAATCGTGCCAGAATCTGAGGCAGAAATTGAATACCTATGGGTTATAAGTCCAGAATCAATTCAGAATCTGGCTAAACATTATGCAGTGCTCATTAGTATGGTATCCAAGAATCAAAAAAGGCTCTTATAACCAAAGTTAACTTGTATTTCTTATCAATATCAGCTACCTCCCTTTTGACAACTCATGCTGCAGTTCTCTGTGTATTGCATTCAGACCACATTTCCACCACATTTTATACCATGGTCATTATTTTCTTCTGTACCTGTTTCAAACAGGATGAAATTAATCAATTGCACACAAGTGACATGACACAGACTTATGACCTTGCCCAGCATCCAATTGTTTCTAATTGATTAGCTCCAGACATAAGCATGTTAATAGCCAAAAATAACAGAACTGGAAGCTATGATACAACATTAGGGTAGTTGACTGTGTGTGGCCCAGAGAGCACAGCCCTGAGCACCCAGTTAAAGAATTAATGGTTATTGGAAACCAGAAATGTTATGTTAAATAATATAAAATATCTTTAATGTGCCTAAAAATGTGATAAAACACTAGAACTTGGGAGCATGTAATGCTGCTTACAAGACTAGGGTATGTGCTCATGCCTGTAATCATGGCAAGCAGATTACAATATTCAGAAGGACAGTCAAAATGAAAAGTCTGACCTGGCTTAAAATATTCATGAAACTACTCACAATAACCTATTGATTATTTCAATGTGTTTCTTTTTTTTTTTTGTAAAGAGACAAGTGAAGCTCTGCCAAAACCCTTTGTGGGAAGGAGGAAACTATGCCTATACCAGTTTCATCTCAACAGTTAAAAGAAAAAAATCCAGGTTCTCTTCAAGATGAAAAGGTCCATATACAAATGGGGTGTAGCCCTCTGCTGCTCCCATCTTGTGTAAATGCATTAAAGTAAAATTTACACCAACTTTTCATGAGTGCTTTCTAGGGTCAGGACTAATCTTAGGCTCCTGAGACCCCAAAAGGGAACTTGGGCACCTCTCACCTTCCACCAGCACATTGGACAAACTGTACTAACTCAGTCTAGGACATGAAAGCATGCAGAGCTGGCCTTAGGGGTGGGCAACATGGGCAACTGCCCAGGGCACTGCGGTCAGGGGGACACCAGACACAAACACACACACACACACACACACACACACACACACACACACACACACACACACACACACGAGTAGCCCATGCTCACAACAGTGCTCTCCCCCTTTCCCACCCCACCCTAGCTAATTCCCAGCCCAGGCAGGAGGAGTGGTGCCCAGGCCAGCCAGTCCCCCTACTCCAGCCACTGCTCAGGAGGAGCTGAGCTGGGCAGTGTGAGTGATAACAGCAGTGCCTGCCTGCCTGGCACACCATGCTGCTCTGCCTCCCTACCGGACTGCGCCCCATACCCCTGCCTGCCTCTGTCTGCAGCAGCACCGTTGACTGGGGGTGGCTCTGGGAAAGGGGTGGATACCAAAATACAAGTTTGCCCAAGGGCACCATTTTCCCTAAGGCTGGCTCTGGACACATGTAAAACTTAGCCTGATTTAAATGGGGTTTAAACTTGAAGTGGACAAGCACATTAAACTGGTTTAAAGCTTCCCAGATCAGTTCAAAAGTATACCTAGAAAAATCAAGTACCTTTTGAACCAGGGGAACTCACTGTGTGAACAAGGTCTGTTTTACATGCGGACACCAAGCTTTGTGTGTCATGGGTCTGGCTGGATCTCCAAGTATCCCACACAGCACAGCTCCTTACTAATACCACTCCCAATGGTGCAACTGGCTGGTCTGGAACACAGCCAGAACTCTACTGCTCCCTTTTCTTCTTTTCATTAGCACTTTTTTTTTAAACCAGTGAAACCCTCCCTTACACTTGGTTCAGTAAAAGCTATGTTTCTAACAGTCTGCTATGTCCTTACTCCCTACGTGACTGCAGCCCCTCATCATGTTCCCCAGCCCCAGGGAACCCAAAAACATGGGTCCAACCATTTTCCCCTGCCCCAAGGACCCCAGTCAGACAAGTACACTGAAGAGTTTGGTCAAGTGTAGGCTGCTGAACTTTAGTGAAAATATGTTTAGAAACAAGGGAAAGCAGAAAAGTAAAAATGCCCCCAGCCACAGGTCACCCACCCCCAAAGTGTGGGTGCAAACACTCTCTCCTCCATTTACCCACTGCCGGGCATGCTGGGCTGGGTGCTCACTCCCACCACATGGTACGAGCCACAGCATTTCAACCCCTAGGAGGTCACTGCTCTACCTGGAATGCGAGGGCACTGCACGTGTGGACACCTCTAATGCAGTTCCCAGTCAGTGACATTTGGGAACTGTTAAATTATTGTGCGTGTCCACACCCCTAGAAGGCAACTGCCCTGCTTCTTTGTCCCCAGGGTCAATTTTGGATGGGGGAACATATTTACCATTCACTTAACTCAAGAATTAAAGGAAAGCAGGCTCAACAAAGCAGTATAGCTTTTTCCTACACACACACACACACCAGACAGAACTTTTTTTTTCTATCAGCTATGCCAGTGCGCTTAATATCTTAATTTTTTTTACTTGCACTTCTAAGAAGAAGCCAATATTTTTCAGCCAAACAGTGAACCCCTTAAGTAATTTGCACCAGCAGTATCAGGTGATGGGTATGTTGTGATCACTGTTTATTGTGCTAAAAATGGTATAAACCCATTGCTCCCTTCTGCTCCTCACATGGGCACTCAGGGGGTCCCATGTTCCCTTTGTCTCTCATGTTATACTTAGCTTATGAACTCGTGAGATGGTACCTTAACATTGGTTACCACAATGGGACTAAAAGCATGACCAGGGCCCCTTGGTACTACCACGATACAAATAATAAATAATAATAATAGCAACAATATTTATCCATGACATTCAAGATCATTTCAATTATTTGTTTTTTAAGTTCCATCACAATAAGAGGTTCAGAGACATGTAAAATGTTGTTTGGATTTCTTGATTTGGGCGTATTTAAAATGTCAAAGAATACTTGAAATTTATTGCACTATAGCGAATGACGTACTATGATGACATCTATGTTGCATGGAAGCACTCCATAATTTTGAAAGACTCATTTCTTGGAACTGATTAGACTGATGTGTCAGGCAATAGAGCTATTGGCAGTTGTGACTTTCCTCCATGGAACCTGCCTACACAAAAAATCTGATCCAAAGCTGACTGTGGAAGTCTGTGGAAAGATACTCACAGACTGCTATGGGCTTTGACGGCTCCCCAGACATTTATGCATGGGCCTCTTCAGCACAACACCTGAGCTCGGGCTCCTGGGAGCAATGGGAAGCTGTATTACTTTGAAGGAGGCCAGTCATTACACACCTAGCCAGACCATCCTTCTGCTGCTATGATGACAGGGAGGTTGAATATTACAGCACAGATCTCTTGAATCTAAGTTCAATAACAGGAAAATCTCTTCCTCAGTGTCATTGGCTGGGGGACACAGTTGCTTGAACCATTTTCTGTATAAAAGCAATAAATGGAAGGGGCTAAATTGCTTCTCCACGCGTTGCCTCCAGTTAAAACTGCAAAAACGATCGGCACCTACCTGCAGATGAGTACAGATGGCAAAGGCAAGCCAAGTGATCTCCCAGGCAAGGCCTGGGGCTCTGGAGCTGGTCATCCTTACTCCCTATAGCACTGCAGAGAGAGATTGCTACAGTTACAAACAGTCAAGCTGCTTTGCCAGAACTCAAGGACTACAGCAAACTGGGCGAAGGCCTGGAGCCGGGCTTTGGAAGCGATGCAACCCAAACAGCCGGGGCTTGTGCTGGCCAGCGGTGCAGGCTCACAGCACACGCCATGGGCAGCCTGCGGGCTGGAGTCGTTCCCATTAGGGAAGGGGGGGAAGAGGTCGGGGAGGTTTGCAATAGGGGGTGAGCCTGAACCCCAGTCAATCTGCCATCCATCAGCAGCCCCTCCCAGCCCAAGCAGAGTGAAATCCAGGGTCTCAGATGTGCTATTACAGCCTCCTCGCCCACTCGGGGCGCAGAGCCCAGCTCTGGAAAGCGCTGGCTCCAGGCAGCTGGGAGACAAGGTGGTCGGGAAGGGGGAGCAGCCAGGCAGTGAGGATCACCCCAGTGAAACTCGGCCCAGTGAAACCCACCGCCGGGATCGCTCCTGCAGCCGCGCACGTGCCGGACCGTGACTATAACCCCGCTGCTGCGGCGCCACCGCAGGCTGCCATCCCCCGCCTCGGCTGCGCTGCGGGGCGCTCCGGGGCACCAGCCCCTCCCAGCTGGTCTTGCCGGAAAGACACCGGCCTCGCCGAGGTCCGGCGCTCGGCCAAGCAGCACCTGTCTGCTCTCCCGGCGGGCGCGCCCGCCGGG